TATATATATAGAAACAAAATAAATAATCATAAGTTTACACATTTAAATTTAGGGGTTACAAATAGTTATAGAGATTATGAAAATATAAATTATGAAGATAAAGAGATACATATTTCTTAGTTTAAGAAGGGAAAATTAATGAGATTAATTTTAGGAAATGATAAATTTAAAGTTCTAATTATTTTTGTAGGATTAGCTCCCCTTACCCATTTATTTATAGGATAAAATGAAAAAGTAAAGGTTTTAACTAATGAAGAAACATAAAATGTGATAAACAACAAATTACAATAATGTAATGTATACAAAGTGATATCGAGTGTGCCCATGCATAAAATATTATTATAAAAATTTAATACTAAAAATAATATTTATTCATTTATTTTGTGATTGTTTACTATTATTCATTTATTTTGTGATTGATTACTAATATGATAGACCAAATCATATATTTTTAGGGGCAACAATATCCAGTAGATTTAAAAGAATTGTACCATAAGTAATATACTTTTAATTCAATCATGGCAAAATTTAAAATATTAATTAGCTACAAATTGACGTATAAATAAATAATAAAAATGTGCTTCTTTTCATCTCCAACGATAACAACAATGAATAGAATATTCATTCTTTTGTTCAAATCAAAGAAATAAAATAAAAGAAAATAGAATAATATTAATTGGAATCAAATTAATACAACAATGAATTTTCAAAATGTTCGGAAATCATTCAAACTTTTATACTATTATGACTCTATCTTCCGGAATCTCCAAGATAATTATGCTTCCTTCTTCATTTTGTTGAACTTATACCAAATTATGTGATAAATCTTTAAAGAATATATCTATGATCTTCATCAAAGTGAAGATCATATTGTGACATCATCTTTTCTATGTCTTCTTTTTATTATGTACATGATTGATGAAAAAAAAGACGAAGAAAAGAAAATTAAAAACCTATACTACTAAAAAGAAAGAATGAAAAAATGAAAATAAACATTCAACATCTCTATAGATGATATGTATTTATAGATTGGATAAGCCATACAAATAGTTTGAAGAAAATTGAAAAGACATGCTATTAAAGTGAGAATATCAATATATGAAGGTTTTTTTGTAACTCATTATAATAATTACAATAATAAATATGCTTGAATTTTTTTAATTAATAAACAAATTATTTCATGAAAAGATTGAAGAAAAAATATAAAAAAAAAAAGAGAAAAGAATGGAAG